CCATGCCCTGCCCCAGAGGTGGCTGCATTTCAAGCATGGCCTGGCGTGTGCTTCGGGATCCTGGGGGGACATTTAAGCTCTTGTAGCAAATAGAGGAACTCCCTGAGGATGGCAGGACTGGCACTCGTGTCCCCCCTGCTCCTCGTTCCAAAAGCCACCCCGGCGACAGGCGAATCCCATCAGCTGCCAGCAGTACGGGGCTGTGACACACGGCGGAGCAGGTCAGGTGCTATCCAGCAGAGGGGACGTGGGCTCTGGTGGGGCCCAGGGCCAGCTGGGGGCCGGGAGGGGTGAGTGTGGGGGAGGGGCGCTGACCAGGCGCTGCGCGGGGTTGACCTGCCTCCGTTTCCCCCCCAGCTCTGCGGCATCGCCCTCATCGTCATCGGGATCTTAGTGCAGATCGAGCTCAACAAGACGCTGATCATGAGCAGCCCTTCGGCCTCGGGCGCCCCCATCGTCATCATCGTGGTGGGCGTCGTCATCTTCTTCGTCTCCTTCTTCGGCTGCTGCGGGGCCTCAAAGGAGAACTACTGCATGGTCACCACGGTGAGGGGGCGCGGCCAGCGGCAGAGATGGGGGGCAGGGAGTCTGGGGCGGGGGGGCCGGCGGGGCAGGACTGAGGGGCATCACAAGGGTTTAGGGCTGGGGGGCAGGATTCAGGGGCATCACAAGGGTTTCGGATGCGGGGGCAGGGAGCCCGGGGCGGGGCTCGCGGGGGGCTGCGGGTCAGGGCTGAGGGGCACCGCTCACCCCGCTCTCTACCACAGTTCGCCGTCCTGCTCACCTGTATCTTCCTGGTGGAGATCGCGGCTGCCATCGCCGGGTACATCTTCAAGGACAAGGTGGGCACCTCGCTGCCGTGTGGCTCCCGCGATTAGGGGGGGGTCCTGCTCCCCCGGCACAGGCGTCTCTTGGGGCTGCCTGGGGATCGCCAGTGGGGCTCAGCCTGGGTCCGGGCCCCCCCAGCTGAGGTTGTGGGTGACGCGAGAGCCCACAAGGGGGCGCTCAGCCCTGGCAGCCCTGTTCCCCTGGGCCCTGCCTCTGGAGCCGCATGTGGCTACTCTGACCCCCCCCTGCTCCCCCCCCCAGGTCCGCACCGTGCTCCAGGACGGCCTGGAGGATGCCATGAAGAAATACAGCAAGGACCCACTGGTAGCGGAGACCATGGATGAACTGCAGAAGAAAGTGAGTGGGGGGGAGGGGGGGCAGGGTGACCTTTGACCTCATTTTGGGGACCAGGTTCCAAATGCTTTGACCTCATTTGCAGGCCCTAGTTCCAAATGCTGGACCGAATTTCCCCCTCACAGCTGGGGAGGGAACCCAGGAGTCCTGACTCCCAGCCACCTGCTCTAACCACTAGACCTCATGCCCCTGAGGCCAGACAGCTCCTGCTTGTTCTGACCCCTGGTTCTCTCCCTGTTTACAGTATTCCTGCTGCGGCGCCCGTAACTACACAGACTGGTTCAACTACGAACCGTTCAAAGGCAATAACAGCGTCCCCAAATCCTGCTGCCAGGCGAACGCCACCATGGCCACCTGCAACGTCAATCCCACCCCTGACACCATCAACGTCCAAGTGAGTTCCAGCCTGGGGCTGGGGGGATGTGTGGGCAGGGCTGGGGCGAAAGGGGAGTTCACACTGTCCCAGCTGGAGCTGGTGGGGATGGGCAGGGCTCGGGTGTGGGTAGGGTTGGTGGGAAAGGGGGGTTTGCACTGTCCCAGCTGGGGCGGGAGGGGGGTGTGGGCAGGGCGGGGGCAAGGGGGTTCGCACTGTCCCAGCTGGGTCTCTGAGCTACCTCGTCGCCTCCCCCTGCAGGGCTGTGCGGAGAGCATCGAGGCCTGGCTGAAGAAACATATCGTGATAGTGGCGGCCGTGGCGCTGGGCATCGCCTTCTTCGAGGTACCGAGGGCCCCGCCCCGGCCCCCTGTGCTCCTGGCCCCCCCGCTGGCCCCACCCCTGGACTCTGGTCCCGCCCCATGGCATGCCCCGCCCCTGCTCCTGAGTC